AAAAATAAGCTTTTCTAAACACCCCGAACACGCCTAAAAAGGAATAAAAAAGTTCGCATCACTTTCATATCAGAAGCCTTTTTTTGGTCTAATTTGACTGGCCTATTAGAGGGACTCTAATCATACCCATATTAGTCGAAGCGAGGAATAATTAAAAATATCGTGTAAGTGCTCCTTTGACTTCGGCTTATACATGCGAGAAAATGTGGTAACGTCGCGTACTTGAGTCTCGCTCTTCAGCTCATATGACCGTGGTCTTTTTCTAGTCAGTGACTGTGTTTACTTTTATAAATTTATAATGACTCCTCCAAGCCCGACCAATTCTTGGAAAAATAAGGATAGAGTCTTGATCGATGGCAAGGCTTGAGTCACTACATAAAAAAACTAACAGATAAAGTTTATTCCTTGTTTTCTGATAAATAAAGATATAAATTATGTTTTGTTGTTTATTGATAGTTGTTGTTAATTGAGTCAAAACTTGTATTTCACATAATTTTAGAGCGGGTACTCCCCCGTAAGCGCTTGTTTAGGTGCTTAAGTTTGAGGTGCTGTCATACTGTGGTGCTGTACACTTTCCGCGCGGGTGCAGTCGCTGCGACGTTGCTAATCTCCCTTGTTATTCGAAGCACGCTACGTGAACTGTGATATGGCCTTTTTCAATAGCCAATATCACAAAATTTTACTCGATAACCCTTGTTTTTCTCGATATTTCTGAAAAGCTTAGATTAAGATCTATAAGAACTCCGTTTTTTGAATCTAGCTCTGGTAGGCTGCCTTTATATAATTATCTCGTTTTCTGTCTCCAGGAACCCCTTTGCCATAAGAGATCATTTTAAAAACTGTGATTTCGAAATTTATTTTTGCAAATTTTTACACGATAACCGATGCTAAAATTTTTCGAGCATTTTTCTCGCATCTCAATTTATACGTCCATGAAGTTTTTTTTTCAATTTTTAGATACATCCATTATACATATATCTGTAGAACCGCCTTAATGAAAAATTAAACTTATCCTCTAAAAATTAAAAAAACAAAGGTATAATAAGGCTCTGAACAAAGAATAAATAACGTAAATAGTGGGCTATGAGAGCCGACGCAAGATCTAATGTGCGAGGATATTATATTTAGAGATACTTAGTCAGTACATTAAAACTTTAAAGTAATTATTCAAACGTTTCAGCCCTAAATCGGGCCCTCTTCAGTGATATTAGTCGAAAGCACGGATCCACGTGATGTACAAAGTTATCTTACGCGCGTACAAAGGTATCGCAACGGGCTAACTAACAAAGTAAACGGGTTAACGCAAAACGCAGGTACAATGTTGGTGTAGTTCGCATTATAAGAGCGTCAAGTTTGCGTTCCCGAATCTCCATGGGAGTATCGATAAGTTACAGCGCGAATGTCCTGCACGTATCCGTTCGACGATCGACCGCGAGAAATGTCGTCCTCTATTGCAGAAGGAGACGAAAGGCAGCAAACTGTGGCCCGACAGAATGCGTGCTACGTGAACCGCGGTCAAACGTCTCTATGGCGTCCATGGCCATTCTCCATCTGTGGAGAGCGATATGTATTCGTTGGTGTCTGAAACACGAATAATTACTTTAAAGTTTTAATGTACTGACTAAGTATCTTTAAATATAATATCCTCGCACATTAGATCTTGCGTCGGCTCTCATAGTCCACTATATTTACGAAATTAAAAAAATTTTGGCACTGATTTCAAGAAAATCGGTCCACTAATACTTATTATTTCTCGAAAAATTTGAAAAATTTTGAAACCGGTTTCCAAAAAATCGGTAACAAAATATTATCCATAAAAAAAAATTCAGCTTGATATCTCAAAATTTGAGGAAATTGGAGCAATCACGTACATTTTTTTGAACAGATATCGGAAACTCCTTTATTATTAGCAATTTTTGTAATTCTATTACATTCTTTAGTTATTTTTCTACCCCTACTTCATATACAATTCTTTAAGATTCGGTCAAAATTCCCGAAAAATTAGAAAAATTTCGTAACCGGCTTCCAAAAAGATCGGTAACGAAAAATTATACACTTTATATCACTCCTCGAAAAATTCCACCCGTTTCATATACAATTCTTTATTGAGATTCGGTCAATTATTTCCCGAAAAATTAGAAAAACCAATTTCCAGAAGATCGGTAACAAAAAACTATACACATCATGACACTCCCCGAGAAATTCTACCCTTACTTTATATACAATTCTTTGAAATTCGGTCCATTAACGAATGAGTAGTTCGCGGACAGACAAACAAACAGACAGACAAACAGACAGACAAACAGTCAGGTTTTATATAATAGTTTTTCATAATAATTACACTGCAAAAATAAATGTGTTATTTTTACACATTTAAGTGTGTAAATCGTGTAGTCACTTTTTACACATTTGTACGCGTTTAAAAAAAGTGTAATTTTTACGTATTTGTAAAACCAAGTGTGTAAAAATTACATATTTCTCAAAAAAATAACACGCGTACAAAAGTGACTACACGATTTACACACTTAAATGTGTAAAAATAACATACTTATTTTTGCAGTGTTTATCAAGAATTTTTCCGAATTATGCCCCTGTCCGGAAACTTTTCGACGGCAGTGTATATAGATAATATATAGATTATCTATAATCATTATAAAAAGCAGATTTATAACAATATAATTTCAGATAAAATTATTATTTACCTTTAAATCTAAAGGAATGGAAAAATAGAAACAGGGAACAAGAAAAAATCTTTATAACGGGAACAGGATAAAACAGGTTTTAATGTTATTTTTTTTTGTTTAAGATTAAATATCTGTAAAAGGAAAAATATTAAACTATATATCTTTTTTATTTATTTATATATAAAAATATAATCTTACATTAAAATTATTTATAAATAAATTTATATGGATAAGCTAATAAATTTGTATGGATAAAAAAGACAGAAAGTCAATAAGATAATGAACTAAAAAGGAAATTAAACAAAGAGATATGGAGAGATGGAAAGACGTAGAAATTTGATATTTAAAATATATTCATTTTCTCTCTCTCTCTCTCTCCCCCCTCTCCCTCTCCCTCTCCCTCTCCCTCTCCCTCTCTCTCTCTCTCTCTCTTATAATATATAAATATTCTTTTTCTTCTCTCTCCTCTTTCTGTTTTTTCCTTGCGATTTGTCTTTGATCGATGACATATATAATCGAAAAATTATATATATATTTTATAGTACTCCCCGCAAAATTCTACCCCTGTTTCATATACAATTCTTTAAAATTCGGTCAATTAATTTCCGAAAAATTGGAAAAATTTCTGATACCGGCTTCCAAAAAAATCGGTAACAAAAAATTATACACTTTATAGCACTCCCCGGAAAATTCTACCCCCATTTTATATACAATTCTTTGAGATTCGGTCAATTATTTCCCGAAAATTTGAAAAATTTAGGAAAGCCGTTTTCCAGAAAATCGGTAACGAAAAACTATACACATCATGGCACTCCCCGGGAAATTCTATACCTGTTTCATATACTTTTGGTAAAAATTCGGTCCACTAACGAATGAGTAGTTCGCGGACAGACGGACGGACGGACGGACGGACGGACGGACGGATGGACGGACAGAAACAGTCGGGTTTTATATAATAGTATGATATGCCATTAATACGAACGTGAAAACGGGTTTTCCTGAATTGCACAACAAGAAAAACATCGATGAACCCTCTAAATCGAGATTAGAAGTCTAATATAAGAGTACAGTGTGTATGACGATTCGTGCGTATGTGTGCGTACAATGTAGGTGCTATCTTTGTCTATATCCTTGTCTATACAAGACCAGATATAGGTCAATAACATAGAAAATGGTAATTTTGTCGGTTATACAGACGACTCCAGCATCACCTAGCTTAACTATTTTGAAATAAATTCTTTTTTAATAAGAATATAACCATAAATAATAAAATTAATAATTATGATGACGTTACTTATAATTTATAATTGTATAAATAATAAATATTCAGGAATGTAAGACATTAATAATTTGTAAGTAATTGTTAATATTTGTTAAAACAATAATTAATAAAAAATGTCTTCTTTTCGCAAATTAAGTAAATCATGAAGATGCAAATCAATAAGAACAATGAAAAAGCAATTATAAATATAGATCTTCGGTCATATAATATTTGTATTTTGTAACTGAACTAATGAACTCACAATCAGTTAAACTATTGATATATTCCGATCTTATTTTTAACTATGTATTTCATTCTGATCTTTGTTTAGGATCGTTTTAAATACGATCTTGAGACGCTGTACGGTTATTTCATTGATTGAATAGAATTTTAATAAGGAATTGTCCATAACCAGACTTTTAAGACGATTTTGAATATAAAATCAAATTAAGAATACTGCTCAAAATCTTAAAACACTTAAATTCTGTTTCGTTAATCAATTCTTGAAAAAAGATTACATAATGTCTACGTATTAATAATGTTGAAAATAGAATAAATATATTATACGTATATTAACAATTTTAGAGCCTGGTAACAGATAAACGTCACATTAAAAAAAAGTTGCACCATTTATTAGTGATTTAAAATGATGAAATAACTCGAAAAGTAAATGCATTTAAATAGTGATATATTTAACTTACAAATTATTACCGAAAATATATAATAAAATGTTTGTTTTATAAATTTTATAATAAAAAATATCGATATACACATCTATACAAATTAATTAAAAATATTGCATTTTTAAGTATTTTTCTAGATTGTTCTAGATTCATTATTTTGTAACATTTAATTTGATGGACTTTCGTGGTTATGTATATAAATATAAAACAAATTTAATTGTTTTGAAAACAAAATTTTGCACGAAAAAGTTTTACGGTATGTTCTTGATTTATTCTTTTATATAGAATAGTTTATTTTTGCGCGCTGATAACGGGACACCCTCTATATAAGGCAAATGGTGGGGAGCTTGATAGAAACTCAGAGAGGGAGTTACTTCTGGCTCAGTTTGCTCTTGCACGATCTTATGCGAGGTTACCCTTCGCATCCCCTCTGGTATACTCTAACTCCCTCCGCGACACCCTCCTCTTCAATTTCCTTCTTCGCCTAGTCACCGTTTCATCTTCATCGTATTTTTTCCCTCTAAAAAAATCTCATTGTAAGAATTACTCGTATTGCAAAAGACACATTTTATAAAAGCAGAAACCGATTCCCGTGCTATTTTTGGAGTAAATTTAGTAATTTGTTGTGAATGGATGATGATGACGACTACAAGAAATTATTGGATGCTGTTAATGTCATTATTGCTGATATTTGGATGCATTTCAGGTTTGTTACGCGTGTAGTTTACGCAATTTATTTATCATACATTCTATATAAGTTAAAAATGTTATTAAAAATATTTAATCGCTTCAGTGACCGATAATCTTTTCCTTTTTTAATTTTTGCCTTTATTTGCTTTAATATAATTAAAGTAAACTTATTTATTACATTAATCTTTTATGTTTCTTTCGAAATCGCCCTATACATTGGAAATCTTATTCCCGTGCACTATTTTTGTCCTAGTAGTTTTGCTTGCTTAATATAACGCTTACCCATTTTATGATACTATTGCACCATGTCTTCACAAATAATGAATACTTCAATAATTAATATTTAATATTGAATATATAACAATAAACATTTAATTTTTTGAGAAGCATTATTTTGTATATAGAATTTGTTTATAAAATACATTGACAATCGGTAAAAGGATACAAATATGGCTTATGTTCTATCACCGTGCAACGAAATACATGCAAAATGCATAGAATGCGAAACTAAAATTCTGACGTTGTGCGAAATATGCGAAATTTTATTATGCCGTTAAAATTTGTATGTATATCGATGTGTATATTATGTGTGTGTGTGTGTGTGTGTGTGTGTGTGTGTGTGTGTGTGTGTGTGT